TATATATATTTATATATATATATATATATAAAAATGAATATTAGGAACTATATTTATCAAACATTATACTGGGCAAGTAAAAATTGTTTCTGGGCAAATAAAATGTGAAAGTCACTTGCCCTTTTGGTATGATATGTCGCTCCATTCAGGAGCGACATATGATACGGTTTTGGAAACAGCTATGGGGAGATGAAATATTTTTCTCTCATGGATCTTCTCATTCTCTTGGAGTGATGGTATTTTTACGTATATTTCAAGGAAGGATAATTGTACACAAAAGTGATACAGGTGGCTTATAATGGTAGTAGAGATGCATAGTCAAAGATTTATTCTGCTTTGTGTGTATGCATATCATATAAAGAACATTAATGGGGTCACGATGCCAAATCTAAATTCATTCATAAATGATAAAGTGGTAATGGGAGGAGATTAGAACATTGCTCCTGATTGATGGCTGATTCATAAAACTTATAGAGGACTGCATCCTGAATATAATGATATTATGACCAATCTATGCACTTCAACACACAGTTGATTACTGGAGAATTTCAAACTCTACCTCCATAAAATACACTTAGACTAACTGCAGATAGCAATCATTGATCAAAAATGTACTGGGTAATCTAATAGATGAGGTTCAGTGAGCCTTTATAAAAAGCTGACTTATCCCTAATAATGTGAGATTAGTTTTAGATCAGTTGCTTAATGATATTTTCATAGACTTTTTCAAAGCTTTCGCTTCCGATAGAAAACTATTTTCTGAGTCAGACATTAAAATAATTTGGATTTGGTGAAAAGTTTTGTAAATTGATAAAAATGTTGCATAAAGACATAATCAGTTATGTTTCGCTATATCCAGGAATTATACCTAAAATTTTATATTTCTCATGAAATCAGACATGACGGTCCTATATCACCAAAACTTTTCATTTTATGCACACAGATGTTGACTTATTTGATTCTACATAACTTGTAATTTAAAGGGATTAATATTTTTTATTATAAATTTCACATTAGTCAATTTGCTTATGATAGTTTTCTTTTAAACCAGTGATTTACAAAACACTGAACAGTATCTCTGTTTTGCTTCTGGTTTGAATATAAATTTACAGAAAAGCAAAATACTACCACTATGTACTATGTACAAATTGTAATCTCTGGCTAATAAGGGACTATCCATTTTTGGTCTAAACCTGTTGTCAAAATCAGAAGGGATATCAAATCTGATATATCCATGTAGCATGTATGTGTCTCCAAAAGACATCATAATCAAAGAAACATAAGTTTATTTGGAGAAATTAAACGTTTATGTAAAAAAAAAAAAATCACAAATGGTTAAAATTACACTGCTTATACAAAAGGAGGTTTGAAAACACTCAGTGGTGGGAGTTAAAAAAAATTAATTTGATAGAATTTAATTTGTCCTTCAGACTCGCCTGAAGAAGTGCAAATACAAGGAAACATTTACATCATATTCAAATAGATAAAAACGGGATCTATGAGAGAGAAATATTCAAAGATCTACCTTTTCATCTGGGTCTGTATCTAAAAATAAACAATAAAGAATTAAATATTTGCTTTGGATATAATTTAGCGATTTCTTTTGATAGAAATGAAAGAAGATTTAGTATCACCTCTTGTGAGGTGGAAGAAAAAAATCTGATAGTTAGACAAAATGTTTCTTTACGCTTGTCAGAGGATGATCAGCCACATATAGTTTATTAAGTAGCGAAGGCAGGAAGAGCCATAGTGGTGAGAGTGAACCATCAGTGTGGAGCACATGGGTAGACTCTCAGCTAAGCCATGCAAATATACATTTCTGTACAAGCACACCTGGAAGAGCAGAGTTTGACAGAGTTGACCGACAGATTCTGGATTACTTTCATCCCTTCTGCTGCTACCATGGTCCATCTGTGTTCATGCAGAATGTGCACCGCTGCATGCCAGGTTGGCGCCATGAGCAAACAGGATGCAGCACTGCGGCTGATACTGCTTAGCTGGTCTAATAGATTATTTGATTTGGTGTAGAATACTGACCACCCGCTAATTTTTTATTTAGTCTCATCTCTTTAACGAAAACTCACAATGAGTCGTCATGTTTTTGTGATCAATGATTTACATTTAGCTGATCAGTTTTGGTTATTGTCATGAAAAAAGGGAGAGCCAACGAAATAACTTTGTCATCGTCATCATGGGCGAAAACAACACTGATTTAATGGATGGATGGATGGATGGATGGATGGATGGATGGATGGATGGATGGATGGACCATTAATGAGAACATCATTGTTATGTAACACTGTTTTGGTCCATGGGCAAACAGATAGAGCAGCTCATTATCAGGGTTTTCACTGTCTCAGAGCTTAGCCTGGAAATAATCTCAAGCTAAACAGAATGTCTTCCTGTTTTCTGCATCAACAGGAAGCAAAGTTTCAGCTCATTCAATCATTTTCCTGCTGCTGCTGGTCTTAACTTCTTTCATCAACCTTTTATTTCTTCAAGTTGGACTAAAATGTTTGCAGCTGCAGAATTTGACTTCCTCACCTTCTTGCACAATTTGGATGTGATCTAAAACCCTCTCTAAGTAGGTACTTCTGGAGAGGAAGCTCCAAGAACCTGGAGCAGGACGGAGGGTCTGAATTTTCCTTTTGTCTAATCGCTGCACATGTTGGTAAACCTTTTCTGTGGGAAGCTGTGATGAAGAATGAGGTACAGGATCGGTTCCTGGGATCTCCAGTAGGTCTGTTAATCATAAAATAGTAGAGTAACCAGAACGAGGGCATTGAGTTGACAGGTAATGTGAAGACAGCATTGGGACAGAAGATCTGAAACTGCAGGTGTTGCCCATTGGACAACATTTGTAACATGTGTTCGCTATTTTATTGATTTATTCAATATAACATATTTTCTAAGCCATTCCATTGTTTAAAATATTAAGCCTAGCTGCTTTTGTTCATGTGCATCTGATCTTGGTACTACCTCACTATCAATAGCCAGAGTAGCATCTATAGCAGAAGAAAAATAGGTTTTGTGGTGTAATGGTTTATCTGTGCATCCATGCGTGGCTACTCCAGAGAGAACAATTAGAATAAATACCTGCAGTGTTGCAAATAAAGTTCCCAAAACCAAAGACAGAGTCCTTTCTCTTTCATGATTGCAACTTTTACCAAGTTAAACCTCAGATGATTAAGGAGGACTTGAAATATTTCTGTCTTTATGTCATGGTCCTCGCACTGGTGGCTTGATTGCTTATTCCGCCCACCTGTTTAGCTCTGCCCGTTCTCTCATCATTGCTTATCCCTTCCACCTGGTTCCAGCCCCTATATATACTGCTATATATTCTGATTATTCTGTTTGTGACCTGTTTCTGTCTTGTGGATCCCGAGTTTTGCTTCGCCTCTGTCTGCTCAATTAGTCTGATCAGCTCTGGACTGTGTATTGGATGCAACTGGCTTACCAAACTTGGACGGTTTTCCTGACCACGGCTTGGATTCCCTCATTGGTACCTCATCGGCTCTCTGATCTTCTGGTAAACGAATTTGGTTCTGGTTCGACTTTGGCTTGGATCCCCCTTTCTGGAAACATCTGCTCCTCGGCGTCGTTTGGCTTCAGCACCGCTCTCCTCACTGCGCATAGGGGTCCACGCCCGCCGGCAGCGGAGGACCATATCCTTCGCAGATTCCTCTCCACCCTCTGGGATCGGACTTAACTCTGAACCAGGTCAGTGACTTTAGCACTTGACTGTTACCAGCCATCCATTCTTAGTCACTGACCTGAGTCTGTTTCCACAGATCCGCC